TACCACTAGGCCACCAGAGCTCGCCACAATCAAGCTTTATAAGAATATAATTACTCAAATGCCTTTTCCAGAAATGAATAATATTTGTTTTTATTATTCAATCTTTGAACATAATAGGTTATATGAAGAAATTCTTTTACTGTAATTTATTATGCAAATATCTTTAAATATATTAGTTTTCCTCTAAGTGACATTAATTTTAATTTTTTGCACTACTTTAATTAGATGTTTATATTAGGGCTAAGTTAATTAAGAAATAAACCTGTATTCTCTTATACTTTCTTATATTTTAATGATGTTACTTCCTACTAAAAAATAAGCTAAATATAAATACGAAACTTACTGTCTTTTCTAGTGCTCTCAAAAAGCCTATGAAACTCTCAGAAATCGTACCTCTTTTCAGTTTTTAATTCTTTGAGAGTTTGTTAGAGGTTTCCTCTAAAGACCATTTGTGTGGGGGTCTACTTTTAAATCTTTTTTGTCCAACATTATTGGCATATTTAGGTTTTCTGCCTTTTTCTAAGTCAATTTGAATAGTTGGTTAGCTAGATATTTTGGAGTATACTGGCAAGAGTTTTCAGTATTATTCACAAGTATTCACAAGCAAAAGAGTTTACACTTGACAAAAAACAAAGGCAAACACATCTCACCTGTAGTTTTCCCTGATTTTGGAGGCCCCACAATTGCAATCCTAATGGGCACAGCAGGCTTGGGTTTTGGCTGGCGGATGTATTTGATTGGGTTCTTAATAAATTTTTCTTTAGTTTCCTTACTAGATAAAAAGTAAATGTACTGACGATGGATCACAGGATAAAGTGGATTCTCTGGACTTTCCGTTGGCTTGATTGTGTCTCCTTCACTTAGCTGCAATATATATTCAGTTGAACATAATTTAGTTTTAATTTATACAGCATTTCTCCAAATATATTTTAAAAGTTATAAAAAATCCTTATAGACTAAAAAAGTTACAATAAATATTCATGTAACGGTAAAATGTACAGACTATTTTACATTCACATGCATGCCATCTCCTCTCTTTGAATTGGTTTTCATTTTGTGACAGTTAAGAATTCCTGGTGAAACAGTGGTTATGAATTTGACTGTTAATGGAAAGGTCAGGAGTTTGGACCCACTGTGTGTTCCTCAAAAAGAAGATGTAGAGGGGGAGGGTTGGAAGCGCAGAAAAATGCAACAATGAATGAATGGAAATCCAAAGTCTCTGTAAATTTTCATTGAAATTAATAATAATAAAAAAAATTTAAGAAAGACATAGCAGTTTGCCTCCAGAGAGTCTCCAGCTTTGGAAACCATAATGAGCAATTCTACTCTGTTCTACCAGGTTCCTATGAATAATATCTACTAAATTGATAGGGCCTCATTAACATAACAGAAAATGGATTTCCCAAATGGATACCAAAACATATTTCTGGAGACAAAATTCAATTCAAATCTTTTTCTTTTTTGACTGCAGTTTCCGTGGGTCATCAAATTAGTAATATCTTACTATCATACACCAGCAAGATTTCTAACCACCCTGATAAAAGTCTAATTATATGCATGAATCCTTTTTATGACCATGCAAAAATTTCTTCACAGGTATTTTTTTTTTTGTGAAAATTCCAATTGTGTTTGGATGTGAACCCTTTCTCCCTAAATAAGGCTTGACTTTGCCTGCTTAGTTATGCCCATTTCAGAGAAGGTTAGAACATAGCTATTTTTCAAAGGCTTTTCAAATGATTCTGATACATGCTTAACTCTAAATTCTCTTTGGTAGGAACTCTGGTGGTGTTTGTAGGGTCGCTGAGAAAGGAAAGAACCCAGTGCAGGCAAAGATAGTTTATTGAGGAGAAACTGCCGGACTGGCTCTCAAGCAGAAGACCAGCCCTCACTAAGAGTTAGAGGGGGATTTTATACTTTCTTACATGGGAACTGGGGAAGGGTATCCATGCTTCCTTCAAGATACGGAAGTGGGCTGGGGTCTCAGATAACTATTCCTGGGAAAATGGAGGTAGGGTAGTTTCACAGAGAGAAAAAGCACAACTGCTGTTTCCTGTTACTGGATTCTCTCAGTAGCCATTCTGGGAGAGGAAGGAGAGGGCTCTGCAGTCCTAACAGTATTTATATTATATATTTAAACATAACATTTTAGAAGACTTCCTGAGACCTCTTTATAGTTAAGATAGACTATGATAGCAAAATTAAGTAGAATCGAACTGAATTGCATAATATCAATCAGACAGGAGGTTTTAAGCTATATGAACATGGTTACCTTCTTGATCCTAACCTGAAAAATATATTTTTTTGTCAGTGACCAACAATAGTTATATGTTAGTAACAGCAATGTCGTTGTTGTTATTTCAAGTTGAAACTGACACATAGTTGACCCTCCAGCAGGTTTTTAGAGGTTGTAAATCACTTGGGAGGAGATTATCCACCTTTCTTCTGTGGAGCAGCTGGTAAATTCAAACAGTATGCCTCTGGGTTAGCTCAATTCTTTGCCACCAAGTCACCAGAACTCCCTGATGACATCAATAACATACTAATTGAGCATATACAAACAATCAAGCACTGCTGTAAGCACTTTACATCATCAGACTAATCTAATCTTTGTAACAATACTGGAATTGTTCTTATATTTCCATTTTGCAATGGCAACGGAACAGAAAAGTAATTTTGTCACTACTGCTTTGCTAGTGCATCATGGTTTTGAATTTGGGCAGGTTGATTCCAGAGGCCAGAGTCTTATTCACTGTGTATCCCAGATGGTGATAAGAAGGTATATTGGTCAAGTGAGCAGGTCACTGGCAATTGAAGATAAGGCTCATCATGGCCTTTAAAAGTTTATTTATTTATTTATTAATTTAAATTTTTTTTCTTTATAAGTTTTATATTATGTTGGAGTGAACACCAGAGAAAAACTCTCCTCCAAAAAAGAACACCTGAACTCTAATATCAAAAACACAATTAGAGAGAAGCACATTGTATGAAAAATTAATTTGGAACCTTGGCTGCTTCTAAGTGAAATTTAAATCCATAATGTGCCCTACCCGACAATAAATGGCAGCTCTCTGTGGTGCTTTTAAAATATGACCACAAGCATATAATCATATATGACCATAAAAGCAAATATGACAGGAAGCAGAAATTCATTCTCCTCTTGAGTGTGTGCTGAATGAACTTAGTCACTTCTTTGACTAGATTAATGTAAGAGTGACAGTGTGAAAATAATGGAGATTCAGTCTGAAGAGACAGTATAAGATCTTCCTGTTGGATTGCTTATTTGGGGGAAGTAAGTGATCATGCAGAGTGTGGAGTGACCTGTTTGCTAAGAAACTAAGGTCTCCTGCTTAAGTCAGTGAGGAACTGAGGTCTCCTGCCATCTTCATGAGTCATCTTGGAAGCAGGTCCTCTAACCTCAGTCAAGATTTCAGATGTCGGTAGTTCCTCAACATCTTGAGTGTAATAATGAGATCCTGAGACAGAACCTCCCAGCTAAGTCATGCACAAATACCTGATTGACAGAACATGTGCGATACGAGATAATGTGTTTTAAGCTAAGTTTTAAATTGATTTGTTATGCAACAATAGATAAATAATGCGCCAGGAAATTAAAAGGCGCATTGCCATGGGAAAGTCTGCTGTTAGGGACCTCTCCAAAGTGCTGAAGAGCAGTGGTGTCTCTCTGGAGACTAAGGTGCGTCTGATACAGGCCATAGTCTTCGCAATCACCTGTTATGCATCAGAGAGTTGGACAATGACCAAGGAGGATAGAAGGAGAACTGATGCCTTTGAGCTGTGGTGCTGGAGAAGAGTACTGGGAATACCATGGACTGCTAGGAAAACAAATAGATTTGTCCTGGAGAGGGTTAAACCGGGTGGCTCCTTGGAGGCAAGGATTCTGAGGCTCTGTCTAACTTGCTTCGGACATGTAGTGAGGAGAGACCAGTCCTTGGAGAGGGACATCATGCTTGGGAGGGTGGAGGGACGGCGCAGGAGAGGAAGGCCCTCTGTGAGGTGGATTGATTCAGTGACTGGGATAATCGGGATGGGAGTGTCAGAGACAGTGCGATTGGCACAGGACAGAGCGGAGTTTAGGGCTGTTGTACATAGGGTCGCTATGAGTCGCAGGCGACTCGACGGCACATAACAACAACAACATATTAAAAATTATAATATTTAAAATGGACTTGGTGCTAGTCCTTTTGGGTACCTAAGATCACATACAAAAAGTGTGTATTCTGTTCTAGCCGCATTTTGGGGGCTCACACTAAATAGAGTGAGTTCAGGTGAGAGCGAGTAGTAAGACTTGAAGCCACACTATATGGCTAACAGTAGTAAGGTCTGGGGATATTTTGTTTCAGGCATTGAAACTGAAAGGACACATGAAAGTTGTTTTTTAGATATTTTGACATCTTCATGTTGTTTTTGTTATGTGCCATCGAGTCAACTATGACTCCTAGTGACTCTGTGAACCATGGCTGTGAGCCTTGCTCTATGCTGAGCCAACCTCACTGTCTCTGACACACCTGATCCCGTTGCCACAGTCACAGTGACTTCCTCCACAGTTTTCATATGGAGAAGTTTAATGTGTTCTGAGGCTACTCCAATGTGCGAGAGCGTGACAAAGATTGTGGGGATGGTGAAGGATAAGGCAAGGCTCATACCTGTTGTTTGTAGGGGTCTTAGGAGTTATAGCCGACTTGATGGCAACTAACAACAAAGACAACAACAATAATGGTTACCAGGAAGAGGAATGGGGAAGAAAAGACATTCACAGACAGTAAGAGGGGTGGAGAGAAGGACAATATGAAATGAATGGGTGATCAGACATTGTATGTGCCATTAATATGTATGTGATTGACGTTATGAAACAAAATATGCATAAACAATTGAAAAGAAAACCCAATATGCTTTGTAAACTTTCATGCAAATCTTAATAAAAAAGAGTACACATTAAAGTGGCATTAAAAGGGCATTGGCAGCATCAGTATGGATGGTGAAGAGATTGAGAGAGTTAACAGTTTTAGTTTGCTTGGATCCACAATCAACACTCTTGGTAACAGCAGCCAGGAAATCAGGAGACAAATTGCATTGGGAAAGTCAGCTGTGAGTGACCTCTCAAGAGTGCTGAAGAGCAACGATGTCAGGCTGGAGACTAAGGTGCACCTGATCCAGGCCATAGTCTTTGCAGTTACGTGGTATGCATCGGAGAGTTGGACAGTGACTAGGGATGATAGAAAGAGAATTGATGCCTTTGAGCTTTGGTGCTGGAGAAGAGTGTTGATTATACCATGGACTGCTAGGAGAACAAACAGGTTTGTCCTGGAGAAGCTGAAGCCGGAATGCTCCTTGGAGTCAAGGATTCTGAAGCTTCGTCTGACATACTTCGGGTATGTTGCAAGGGGGGACTGATCCTTGGAGAGGGACTTCATGTTTGGGAGAGTGGAGGTACAGCACAGGAAAGGAAGACTCTCGATGAGATGGATTGATTCTGTGAGTGGAGTGGTGGGAATGAATGTGTTTGAGACAGCGAGGTTAGCACAGGACAGAAAGGTGTTTAGGGCTCTTATACATAGGGTCGCTATGAATTGCAAGCGACTCAATGGCATATAACAACAACATCATATTTAGTATAATAAAAAATTTTAAGTGCTGGAACTATTAGAAGACTGAATGGGCAGCACCTAGAAGAGTGACATTTCGGTAGGAGTTGGAATGGATGACAGTTGTTTAAAGGTCGTGAAGTGACTCGGGCTTAGATTGAGTGGATGGCCCAAGTGACTTGAAAGCTCCTTAAAAGTGAGATTCAAAGGGTCATAATGGATCATATGAACTTAGTCTCCATGACACTAAGGCCAGAAAAAGTAGATGGTGCCCTGCTAGCACTTCTGACTGCTCTGCTCTGTTAGATTAGAGGGCCTTGAGAGAGTGGGAGAAATATGTGGAACAAAACTCAAAATCATAAAAAATACAGACTTTCTGGTCTGAAAGAGAGTGATTAAATACCCAAGACTATGATGAGCCTTTGTCACTGTTCAAGCCTGGAGTGAAAATCACCCCGCTGACTGTTCAGAACCCCAGCACCAAGGAGGAGCACGCTTCTTAGAACAATTGACAGTATGAGATCAAAGCTGCAGCATTTGACCAAGGATGGAACTCAAAAAGCAGAAAAGGATAGGTAGGCAGGATAAGTGGAAACAGAACACAGGAATGAAGTAGGCAAAGTTGCAGAGATTGTAATCTCTCTGTCACAAAACATCATGTGAGTGCATGACTCAATGGAAGACCAGTTTGCTCAGTAAACTTTGATTCAAATCATAATAACAAGTTGAAAAAGTTTGATACGTCTTGTTTTACATATATATTATTCTTAGGACTTCATTCTTTCCTATCTACTTGTGCTGATTCTGACTTAGAACAACCCCACATGACAGAACAGAAATACCTTACAAAGTTTTGTTTGTAATCTATTAACAATCTGCGTTATGCAGGTGACACAACCCTGCTTGCCGAAACTGAGGAGGACCTCATGCACTTGCAGAGGGTCAAGGACTGCAGCCTTCAGTATGGACTGAGGCTCAATGTCAAGAAGACAAAGATTCTCACCACTGGATCAATTGGTAGCATCAGGATGGATGACGAAGAGATTGAGATTGTTCACAGCTTCAGTTTGCTCCGCTCCACAGTCAACACTCTAGGCACCAGCAGCCAGGAAATCAAAAAGCATATCGCGATGGGAAAGTCTGCTATTAGGGACCTCGCTAAAGTACTCAAGAGCAACGGTGACTCTCTGGAGACTAAGGTACGCCTGATACAGGCCATGGTCTTTGCAATCACTTGTTATGCATCAGAGAGTTGGATAATGACTAGGGAGGATAGAAAGAGAATTGATGTCTTTGAGCTGTGGTGCTGGAGAAGAGTATTGAATGTACCCTGGACTGCAGATTCATCCTGGAGAGGGTTAAACCAGGCTACTCCTTGGAGGCAAAGATTCTGGGGCTTTGTCTGACATACTTTGGACATGTAAGGAGAGACAGGTCCTTGGAGAGGGACATCATGCTTGGTAGGGTGGAGGGATGGCGCAAGAGGGGAAGACCCTCTATGAGGTGGATTGATTCAGTGACTGGGGTAATCGGGATGGGTGTGTCAGAGGCGACTGGCACAGGATAGAGCAGGGTTTAGGGCTGTTGTACATAGGGTCGCTATGAGTCGCAAACAACTCGACAGCACATAACAACAACACAACAATCTTTATGGAAGCTGACTGCCACGCTTTTACAGCTTAGCTGGATGGGTTCAAATTGCAGACCTTTTGGTTACCAGCCAAGTACTTAACTGTGTGCCACCCTTTTCTGTTTAGCAGAAGTAAATAATAATATATTGCCCTTTCCCTGCTTTCTAGGTTCCAGTTGCATCCCATCACTGTCCCTCAAAGAAAACCCAAAAGTCATTACACTGGCATCCTATTTAGTGACTTATTCAGCTTATGTAATTTAAACCTGGCTTCTCACTTTAACATCCTCTTATACCACACTTCTGCCCACTTGTTAATCCACCTGCACGGACCTTCTTCCTGTTCTTCAAACATAAATATCATTTTAAAAAATTATTTTTTTTGTTGTTTGTAAGTTATTTCTTTTTTTAAATTAATTTTAATAGACATTTACAGAGGTTTTGGATTTCCATTCATTCATTGCTGCACTTTCCTCCCTCCCCACCCCTCCCCACCAGCTCGCTCCCTTCTCTGAAAAGAAAAAGAAAAAAAAATTCCTTCATTAGTATACAATTCGCCTATCCCTTCCCCCTTACCCCCTATCCCGAGTACACTTCTCTATGCAACCTTAATTCTGGATTCCTGTGCTAACCATAATACTCAATCATATATCACTTCTAATCTGTTCTTTCCCTCATCTGTTTCAATATAATATACATAACTGGATAAATTATGTGTATTATATTGAAAAAAATTATTTTTATTTTGTTGGTTTGCATACAAAATTTGTATTCATTGTGTTTCATTCATATACATTGTGTTTCACACATTCCTTCATTCACATTATGTTCCATATGATCATTTTCATACATTGTGTTTTGTAAAATTAATCACCATTGCTCTGTGCAACCTAATACCCCATCTTTTCAGGTCCCCACTGTATCTTTCCTAATTTCTTCACCCCCTCCCTCCAAACTCAAGAGTTTGGTCCCACCAAACACTGTAACTCTATGATTTTCCCCACTTCTCCACCCTTAGCTCACCTACACCTCCCCTAATTACTCTCCTTCCCCCTTTGGACTTTTTTACTAGTAGTTTACTAGTAAAATGCTCATATGC